CCAGGAATTTGTCCTTTATTCGGATCACGAGGCCCTCCGTTACCTCAACTCCCAGAAAAGATTAAGTTCTAGGCATGGTCGTTGGGTCGAATATTTGCGTTCATTTGTCTTAAAACACAAGAAGGGCGTAGAGAACCAAGCAGCTGATGCATTAAGTCACCGTGTCTCCCTTTTGTCGATCATGAGTATCCAGGTCATCGATTTTGAAAGACTTAAGGAGGATTACGAGGCGTGTCCCGATTTTAAAGATATCTTTCTTGATTTACAAAGGGGACAATCAGGCGCCACAGATAGCTTCCGACTTGAGGAAGGTTATCTCTTTAGAGCCAATAAATTGTACATCCCTTGAACTTCAGTGCGAGATTTCATCGTGTGAGAAATTCATGCGGGAGGGTTAGCCGGTCATTTTGGACGTGATAAGACCATAGAGGAAGTTGAACGTCAATTCTATTGGCCTAGCTTAAAGAAAGACGTGGCTAAGATTGTTAGCACTTGTAACACTTGTCAATTGAGTAAGCAGAAGAAGTAGAACACGGGTCTATACACCCCTCTCCCTGTCCCTAATTGTCCTTGGTAAGATGTTAGTATGGATTTTGTGTTAGGACTTCCACGCACCCCAAAGAAGCATGATTCTATTTTTGTGGTTGTCGATCGCTTCTCAAAGATGGCTCATTTCATCCCCTGTAGCAAGACGTCGGATGCGTCCAAGGTTGCCCTGTTATTCTTTAATGAAATTGTCAAATTGTATTGGCTTTCCAAGACCATCGTGTCTGATAGGGACGTTCGTTTCACTAGCCATTTTTGGAGAACTTTGTGGCATAAGATGGGTACCAAATTGAAATTTTCTATGGCCTACCACCCTCAGACTGACGGTCAAATTGAAGTAGTTAATCGAAGTCTTGGTACCCTATTACGTTGTCTGAACCGGGAAAACCTTCGGAATTGGGATTTGATCCTTCCTGTAGCTCAAATTGCATATAATAGCTCCATAAATCGTTCATTAGGCATGAGTCCATTTGAAGCTGTTCATGGGTACAAGCCTAGGAAACCGTTAGATCTCACCCCTATGTCCCCACAGGCTAGAGTGTCAGTATCAGCCGAAACATTTGCACAACATCTTCGTGACTTGCATATTGAGATCAATAAACAACTTGAAGCTAGTAATGCAAAATATAAACTCCAAGCTGATTTACACAAATGACATATTGAGTTTAACATTGGGGATTACGTTATGGTTCGCATTAGGCCAGAGCGGCGTCTACATAGACCCGCCTCTAAATTGCAAGCTCGTAGTGCTGGTCCTTTTAAAATTTTAAAGCAGGTTGGCCCAAATGCATATATTGTTGACATTCCACCACACCTTGGTTACCACTCTACTTTCAATGTTGAGGACCTTGTAACTTATAAAGGCCATTTCATTCCCTCAGATGATCCTCTGTCATCTCCTTTTGTGGACCTTGATCCTGATTCTTTGGCCCCTTCTAACCCACTACCATCTCTCACAGCACACAAAGAAAAAATTTATGCTATTTTAGATGAAGAAACTGTGCTCACTAATGATGGAGAGGTTCAGCGCTTCCTTGTTTGTTGGGTTGGTCGACCAGATTGTGACTGTGCATGGATCTCCAGGGAGACACTACAGCAATTGGATCCAGATTTATTAGAATTTTATCGGAGTCAACAGGATCTTCATTGACCCAGATCGCCTCCCGTCCACCCGAGGGGAGTTGATGAGGACACCAGGTTCAGACCACCACTGACGCATTTCTACAGATGCCGGAAGAAGCTTGCCCAGCCACTCAGCCTATGGTTGGGAGATTGACGGATGCCTATGGTGATATGGCCACTCGATAGGGTCGAGTTTTCTCTCCCACCCCGGGAGAATTGATGAGGACATCCCAGTTTTAATTATTTTAGTTGGACTTTTATTTCTTAGTTGGACTTGGGTTATTTTATTTTTATGGACTTGTGTATTGGGCTTGGTCCTATCTTTTAGGTTTGTAGTATTTTCAGTATTTAAACCTATTTTACATTATTATTGAGATGATGAATTTGATTGAATAAAAGTTTGGCTACAACCCCGTTTCTCCTCTTTGTGTTCTTCCCCTCTTCTCTTCTCCTCACTTCCCCTTCTTCTTTCTTTGTTATTCATTCTACATCACACTCCAACAACTTAATCCTGACTTGTTGGAGCTTTATAGGAGTCAGCATGATTTTCTATTGCCCAGACCACCTATCACACGTGTATATGAACGTCGGAAGAGGTTTGTCCAACCACTCAGCTTATGGTTGGGCGACTGACTGTAGCCTTTTATGAGTTATTCCCTCGACAGAGTCGAGTTTTCTTCCACCCCGGGAGAGTTGATGAGGACATCTAGCTTAGACTATTTAGTTAGTATTTTATTTGTGCTTGTATTATGTTTTGGGCTTGCCCAAACCTTTTATTTTGTTTTTGGGCTTGTATCATGTATTGGGCTGGCCCAAGCCCTTTTATGCTTTGTATTGTATAGAAGTATGGAACCTTTTATGCATGGGGGGGCAGATTTGATGGCTGAATGAAAATTGAGTGTTGCAGACTTCCACCACCCTCTTCTTTCTTCCTTCTCCTTCTTCATCTTTCCTCTTTGGTTTCTACTTCTCCCCTCTCCTCCTATGTGACTGGTTCTGTGTTTGTGTTTATCTAATCCTACATCACACTGCCTCCGGGTGAGGGGTGCAAAAAAAAGGCCTCAAGGTGTTGATTGTGAGGCAGTTTTTGGAGACTTATGTCTCAGCGTTGCCTCCCAATACAGCCTCAAGGCTTGCAGTCCACAAAACATAAAAAATATTATTGAACCATTTCATGAATAGTTCATTGTCTACTAAAACGTTAAAATTTGTGTTTCCCATAGAAGATTCTTCACACATCTTCGAAATTAAAAACTAATTATGGGAAACGAGGCAAGGCTCACAAGATGTTACGGACTACTACATGAAGAGGGTCTCACTCTAGCAGGAATTGGACCTCAGTGTCGACGAAGAATTTAAGCGCCCACAAGATAATACCCCCGTACAAAAAACGGCAGGAGAATGAGAGGGTATACGAGACCTTGGATCTTTAATGTAAAGTACAAGACGGATGGGATAATAGAACGCCATAAACTTCATCCAATTACCAAAGGATACACTCAAACCAATGGCATCAACTGCATAGAGACATTCGTGCCAGTGGCAAAACTCAATACAGTTCGAGTTTTCCAGACATTAGAATTAAATCTAGACTAACCTCTTCAACAGCCAGACATTAAGAATGCCTCTTTCAATAGAGAACTAGAAAAAGAAGTCTTTATGACAATACCACCGGGCTTCAACAACATAAATGAGAAAAATTAAGTGTGTAAACTCAAGAAGTTTCTATATGACCTCAAACAATTACCAAGAGCATGGTTCAATAGACTTGCTAAAGTATTAAAAAGTCGAGGATACCAGCAAGGGCAGTCAAATCACACCATGTTCTTTCAACAATCCAAAGATGAGGTGAAAACTATCCTAATCGTATAAGTGAATCATATAATCCTAACAAGGGAAAACATAGTTGAAATGGAGATAGTGAAGTGATGCTTAGCCGCTGGGTTTGAGGTAAAAGACCTAAGACAAATGTGGCACTTCTTAGGGACGGAAGTTGTAAGATCAAAGAAGAGTGTTAGTGTTTCTTGATGGAAATACATTCTTAACCTCTTAAATGAAATGGGCATGCTGGGATGCAAGCCAAGCGACAAACCTATTGAGGTGGGTAAATTATCAAAGGACACAAGAAACTTAGCGGAAATAGACATATATCAAAAACTAGCTGGCAAGTTAATCTATCTATCACACACGAGACATGACATAACTTTGGCAGTCAGCATATGCATTTTCCCAAAGAAGCTCACCTAGAGGCAGTATATAAAATCCTCAGATATTTAAAAGGCGCCTCTAGGAAAGGATTAGTCTTCGAGAAAAATAAGAGGGCTAGATTAAAAGAAGACAGATCTACTACTAGTTACCATACCTTTGTATAGGAAAATTTGATAACTTGAAAAAGCAAGAAATAGAATATAGTGGCGCGTAGCAGTGTAGAGGCTGAATTTAGAGTGGTTGCACAAGGAATATGCAAAGGATTATGGATAAAGAACTGAAAGTCAAAATGGAGTTTCCAATCAAACTTTATTGTGACAATAAAGTGGTGATCAACATTTCTCTCAACCCAGTACAGTATGATAAAATCAAGCATGTAGAAGTGGACAGACATTTTATAAAGGAAAAGATGGATGATGGAATTATTTATATGACATGTTCCTACAAAAGAGCTAATAGCAAATATGTTTACTAAATGATTATCGAAACAAATATTCGATGATTTCAACCGCAAGTTGAGCTTGGTCAATATCTACAGTCTAACTTCAGGGGGAGTGTAGAAAAACAATCTTGTATGGAATGGTTTTCCGGAATGGAAATTGTAACTAATTAGAGATTGTATTTTTAGGATAATTGGTAAGTTGTTCTATTACCTGATTATGCTTGTTTAAACATTGGACACATAGAAACAAAAAAGGGAAAATAGAGTACTAGACATAATTGTCAATGAAAAAAATCTTATTGATGGCTATTCAATATAATAGTAAGGTGAGGCGTAATCCTTGAGGCGCTACGAGATGCCAAAATAACAAAATAATTCTAAAAATAAGATTACAAAAATATGCTCATAATAAACCATGCTGGCATGACTGATGACCCTTCTATCTCGATAACTAATAATTAACAAATCAACATACAAGAAGTGAACAGTAAATGATTCTGGAGAAAGCAACTTAAGACTGATATTCACTTCAAAAAGAAGCAAATAAATATCTAAACGTCGCAAGAATTTCTAGTCAGGTCTAAGACAAGAATCACCACCGTGTATAATTTTGTATATCAAAAAAACAAAGAAAAGGAAAGAACTACAAGTAGAATATTCAGTTTTCAGAATTGTGTGAAACCTCGGGATCATTTTGAAGTAGGGCTCCGTCAATGATGGAAGGAGATTTTCCTTGTGCACACAGCTCGCTGTAAATGGAGACTAAGCTAGCATACCCCAGCTCCATGAATGATGGGGGCGAAACCTTGTCAAAGGATGGCTAACATGACAGCAGACAAATTTACGATCATTGAAATGATAAGTAAGAAGGATGGAACATGATAACAAGAAAATTGAAGAAAAATTAAGCCACGTATTCCATCAATTCCACGTATAGTTTCTCAACCTCAATGAACCATTTCTTTTGATAAGTTTGTTCACTTCCTAAACGTAAAACTGGGCCTCCATATGAATTAAGAGGCATTAAACGATGCAGTAAATGTTAAAATCATTATATCACACTAGATTGTGAGAAAAATTAAAATAAGATGTGTACATATTTGAATGCATAAAACATGTGAACTTACCAAAATATCAAGGGGGTTTTCTATCAATATACAGTGCTTTCCTTTCTTCATTAATTCATCGGTTAGATCAGGCATATGTTGGCTAGCCACATTCTGTCGATAGGGGGAAGTAAAACATAAGCCTGTTATCATATCATATGATTCATAACTGAACGGTAAATATGAACGGCTCTCACTTTCGAAAAAACAGCTGCTACATGTTAATAAGAAGCAAGCAAGTTTCTGGCCTACTACTTGGATGGAAAAAATTTCATATTATCAATAACTCATTGGAATTGAAAACCTAGTATATACCCGTAAGAAAAATTTTACACGTCGAAACTGATTAAATGCCAAACCTCCTTAAGATCCAATGGTTGATCCATGATTCGTGGTTAAGCGCCTGTCTGGGAAAAAAAATTATGCTGGAAAAAATTGATTTTTGTGTCAAATCACCGGCCCCACCATATTTTTAAAACTGCTTGTTTGCCAATTTTTAAGCTGTTTATGCCTTTAGCATTTACGAAAAGTCAATTTAGCCCTCATCGATACTTTATATGAATAATATGTAAATGACAACAGGGGCAAAATTGGGCATTGGCATCTACAACGTATTATGGTACTATAATTGTCTGACAAGGGAGTCAGGTGGGTCAGAATAAAAAATTGATATTGAACACCCAACGGTCTGATTTGTCTTGCACAAAGAATAGAGAAATCAGCGGTATCACTTATTATCACTTCCGTCTTCCTCCACACTGTAAAACCTTGTGCACCAAGGAACAAATGCAGCAAGATTATATCGATTTGAATGAGTGCATGTGTAGAAGGGGTGTGAAAAGAAACTATAATAAAGCATGATCTATATATCGCACTTCATATTATGTACTTCAATGTGAAGGCTAGCAAGATAAACCTACATTAGTGGTCTGTTTATATCAAAATCGTTATAATTAAGATAATGAAAGTGCGATAGCATGTAAATAAATGAGCACACACATTAAGGCTGCTTTAAAAATTAATTAATGTAACAGAGAAATTAGTGATTAGTTACACAAATTTAGGTAGCATTCCTCCCCGTAATTATGACCATTAAAAATAATGAATAATGTTACTTATACATAATGAAGTTACACAATAATTTACATACAGATAAGATGTAAAAAAAAAGTGGTGAAGTTTTATTTATTTATTTATTTATTTAAGAAAGTATGTCAAATCATATCTTACAACATTATGTATATGTAAAACATTCTGTAAACTATTATGTATACAAAATACAATCCAAAATTAATTAATCTTAGTGGATTTGGACCTACTAACTTTTAATTAGGGTAATTAACTAGGTTTAGCCTTTTCAATTAAGTCAAAATTATTCATTTAAATAGACCCATCTCTTCAAAGTAGTCTAATTTATTTATCTTAACCTAAAAATATTTAATTATATCATCAATTGACTATTTGGTCAGGGGTGAACCTAAATAGAAGATATTTTTCAATCAAGCCTATAAATACTAGCAACTCCTACCTACCAATAGGTTCCACGAGGTCAAAAGTTAGAGTCGTGTTTGAGCCTGTGATGAAGTGTATAAACAAACATTTCATAAGAATGCATCGTCACATATTAAGCCCTTATTTGGTGGGAATTAAAATCAAATTTTTAGTAGATTTTGATAAAAGTCATTGAAATATGTGATTGAAAAGTTGTGGATCCTATAAAATGTGTAATTAAAATTAGTTGTTGATTTTAACTTCGATTAAAATCAGGGCCCTATTTGATCTCATTTTTATCAAAATATATTTTTTCTCTCTTCTTTTTAACTACACATTCTTTATTAAAATATTATTACACATAAATAAAAAAATTTCCTTATGTTTCATTCACACATTCTCCATCAATCTACTATTCTAAAATTTATTTTTCCATAAGAATGAATGTCAAACACCCTCTAAGATTTTAATTTGCACCAAACAGGGGCTAAATTGTTGTCTTTACTTCTCTACCAAAATGTTATAAATGTTATAAATTGTTGTCTTTACTTGCTCTGCTGCCCAATATGTTAAAAGCAGCTTAAGTCAAAAAGGTTGGGTATTGGTAGTTTAAGTGTAATAACTGCGGCCGAGAGGAAAATAAAGCAGCATTTTATCATGATGCACGAATAGGAAAGTACAGAACGATGGCTGGGGCAAAAAACAAAATAAAACTTGAAGCAGAAGAGTTTTTACCACATCAAGGAATAGTGCATTCATTTGTCGTTTTAACACAAAAAAACTTATCTATTTCCTTATTTATCTATTTATTGTCATTGAAGCATGTGAGCTAAATACACAATTGATTTGGAGAAAATTCTTGTAGCTGAGCTTCCTTTACATAATATAGGAAAATTAAAGGATTAATCGGTGTAGAATAATTAACTTTTCATTTACTCAAAAAGTGAATTGCTAAGAGAAATGGATACAATTGTTATCAGGATCAATTAATTACCAGAAGAGCAACAAATCAAGACTGTCAGGCTTTCTTCAATATTTTGATATCGACTTCTTATGAAAAGATATCGTGAAAGCTTAAAATAATTTCTTAGTAAGCAGTCTACCAGAAAGACTAGATTAAAGAAAAAGAACGAAATGCTTTGCCTTGTAAATCACGCTGTACAACTCATTCTTTAAACAGAAAGTTACCAAGTGTAATGATGCCCCTTTTTGTTTCAGCTAAAAGTTTGGATTAAAATACAAGTAAAAGTCAACAATTAATTTTAATAACACATTTTATTGGACCCATAATTTTTCAACCATATATTTTCATCAACTTTTATCAAAAATCTACTAAAAATATTATTTTCATCTAAACCACACAGGAGCTATATAATTGAGTAGGTAATAAGCAGTCCAACAATTCATACTTTACCCAATAAAAAGAAAAATGATATAATGGAGTAGCATATGTTTATGTCACATCCATCTGTGCCAAGCAAATGCATCATTGAACTAATTATGGACGAATATAAACATCACCAAAGCGTATGTCTATGACATGTCAAGTTCATTGAAAATTATGCAGTATGCATTTAAAAGAAAGTGCAAATATAAGGATCAATCCACACCTATAGAGCATGTTCCCTACAGACATGAAAACTGTTATCTCACTGTAGAAAAATAGTTGGAAAGTTCACAGTAACAGAGTAGAAGAGAAGGATTAGTAAAAAGAAGCCAATTACCCAAGTTGACTCTTATGCTACTAATTCTAGAGGTCTTACCTTACAGAATTGACACTTCTTTTGTCCAGAGCCAAACACGATCTTATTCTCATATAATTCCTGTCAATAGATATCGAAATATTTCATGACTTTGTTAACCTGACCAGGAAAAAAGAAAGCCCACGATAGCAACAGAATCGGAAAAGTCAATCCCAAAAAAGTAACTTGCATATGAGCAAAAAAAGTTAGTTATATACATGTAATAATCGTTTCCAAAGAAGAATAGAACGAGAACTGCTAGGTCTAAGTAAATTTTGGTAAGTTCCAGGTCCAAAATCATTAAATTGAGTTGAAATCGGGTTCAAATTGAAGGGTGTCAATAATTGTAGTGTAGTGGAAAATACTGAGATATGAATAAAGCCACATGTTCACCGCTCAAGATCAAGCTCAAGCTAAATTAACAGTGTGATCGCTCAATGACCGTAAGAGGACACGCAAGCTAGATTACCAGAGCGTGACTGCTCAAGGGGGCACCTAGAGGGTTCTCGAGTGGACGGTCAATTCAGTAGACTGCCCGCTCTGCACCAAAAGCCGCTCGAGCGGTTGATTAGGCAGGAAAACCTTTTTTTTTTCCTAATTCAAACTTTGAAACATCTCCAAATAACCAAAAAGTAAAAAATACAGTTTACAAACAGCTCTAATTGACCTTTTCTATTGTGTTGAGGAAAAAGGAAAAGTTAGAAGATCAACTGAGTTTTGAACCATTTTGCTTCCTAAATTCATGTGACTGGAGGTCCAGGTAATTAAAAATAAGTTCCTTCTTGGAGATCCCAAAAAAGTTCAAAGATTCAGAAGTAGATTTCGAAGTGCACAGTACATGTTTATTCAAGTAATTACGGATTCAAAATCAAAGTCTACTAAAGTTTAGTTGTGTTTGACTATATCTACTAGTTCAATCTTTTTATAATGGATCATTTTTGCCTTAACTTTTTTTCCCCCCTCATATTACTACCTCTTTTAAAATCATCTTTGTACCTGCCTCTACAAAGACTAAGAAGGTAGAACTCAGGGAGTCTAAGAATAAAGATATCCAATGAAGAATTCGGTCTAAAGTTCAAACCTCTAAATCGAGCACTGCTCCTAAGCTCATCCCCACTTATTACAAATATGGAGAGATAAGTCATACTAAACCTAAGCTCCGTAAACTCTTTGTTAAGAATGACAAAGAGGATATCACTAGTCAGGTTAAAATCTTAACTAAACAAGTCAATCTTTTGATTGAATGATGAAATACTTAATGATATCAATCTTTTCTTCTAGGAGGGTTTGAGTAAAAAAGAATGAACTCACTGATCATGTTGAAGAATTCATTTAATCATGTTCTTCACATCTTCTTGTATGCACTTTAACTTGTTCGAGCGGACAATCAATTTAGTAGACCTTTCGCTCTGTGTGAGCGGTCAATTAGGCGAGAAAACCCTTTTCTCTCAAGTCAAACTTTGAAACACCCCCAAACCACCAAAAACTAAAAAATCAGTTTATATACAGACCTAATTAACGTTTTTCTATGTGTTGAAGAAAAGAAAAGGTTAAGAGAAGATCAATTAAGTCATGGTACATCTTGCTTCCAAAATTCTCTTTCACATTCACACATGAAAAACACCATAAAATCATCTACCATATAACCTTTAGATTTCCGATGAAGCCAAGAATGAATTGGACTTCCAGTTAAAGAAGAACAAGAATTTTTTTTAGAAGTCCTAGACAAGGTGCCAGAGTGTATAACCGAGGAATTTTTGAGTAATTATGAATTCGGAGTCAAAGTTACTAAAGTTTAGTTGTGCCTAAACCATATATGCATCATTTGATGGCAAGGCAAACCCGAAGGGTTTTTTTTTTTTTTTTTTTTTTTTTTGTTGAAGAGTCGGTCAAGAGTTTTTCCTTGGTAAACAATTATTGGTGTTATTTATATTTTAGTGCATTTGCTTTGATGACTATGATGGTAGTAAGTTTATTTCTTGTGTATCTAGACTAAATAATTTGTAACTCGTTATAGATTATTTTTGCTAATTTTAAATTCCTCATAGAACACATATTCAACCCCAGTGAAAAAGGGTCAACTACATAGTTTTTCAAGAGCAAATGTATAAAAGTTAAATGCAGCAACACTAAAATCCTCATAAAGATATTTATTGAACTGTCTTCCCTTTGGCTTAAATGCAAAAAGTATCAAGGGTGCTAAAACAAAAACCAGCATGATTTGTGGCGCTTCCATATATAACTATATCTTAGTCTCCACAAAAAAAGGATTTAAAATTCTTCGTAGGTGTAATTTCAAAGTTGGTGCAGAATCAAAACCAAGCCCAATTCCGGCACATACATTTCCAATTTATAGCTATATCTTTATTTCAAAGCAAAAGGACTTAAAATTCCTAGTAAGTACTGTTTCACTTGGGCACTTGTACACAATAACGCATTTCTCTATATAAATCACCTGATCAAAATTGGTATTGTAGATGATACTATGTTCAATCATGGATCAATAACATTAGCAAAAGCTAAAAGTACATAGCTTAAGCATCCCAATAGATTAAACTAGGTGAGAGTTATTTTGCCCAGTATTTATCCTGGATTCGCATATATAACACAAGAGTTATGGACACAAAACAATGTTTTTTTAGGAATGATAAATTGCAACTATTAAGCTCTGAATTAATCAATGCACAAAATGCTTGCTAAATGAGAGTAAAATTTAATTTCACTTACCATCTTTGATAGGAGCTCTGCTTGGTATGGCCTTTCTATTCCAGGAACACGTAGGAAATTTGGATGAAGGAGTTCATCAAGAACTTCCATATCATCTCTCTGGTAAAAGCAGAGACGAGAAAAGTTGTTACATCATCAATAAATCTAATTATATATTATTTGTAGCTTTCTCCATCGTACCCCCATCGTTTGATTTATTCAATTAGCTTTCAATCCCGTTAAATTTTTAAAGGGTGAGTAGGTGGTAGTGCTATCAATAATTTGGGAGGTATGAAAACTTGAAAAATAATCATTATATGGCCTAGTACCACAGCTTGAAAAGGACAACGAGTGGAAGACATTATATTCCTGAGTGGAATAGCATAAACAAGCATGTTAGCAAACATCCCATAAAGGATGAGTAGATGGTGGTGCTATCACTAATTTAGGTGGCATGAAAACTTGAAAAATACGCCTAACACGGCCTCGTATTCCAGTTTGAAAAGGAAAACAAGTGGAAGACATTATATTCCTAAGTGGAATAGCAGAAACTAATATGTTAGCAAACATCCCATATTTCCCCACCTATGAATGTCATGTGCCTTTTCAAATGGCAATATTCTTTTCTTTTGAACATAACAGATAATTCATTTAATCTATACCAGTTAGCAACCATATGAAGCTTCTAAGGAGAGCTTCAACCATAGTCCATCAGTCCCCAACCCCCACCCCAGTTTCCCTTCCATGCCTCCATTGTAAACATCTACAAAGAACCCAAGCTAAAAGGAAACTAAACCGTGTCATACCAAACCTAAAAAAGAATAAATATTTACAACCACGGAGCTATTTTGGCACCTCTTCTTTTTACTAGCTTTTCAGATGGAATATTCCTCTAATGTTAGCTTCTGGAAAGCTTGAAACATGCACAATACCCCCGTTTTAAGCAAAACGACGACCAAAATTTCATAGACAGCCAACTTGTAAATTGTAATACGTGTTTGCTCTCTGTATTTCAAGCAATTAAAATATCAACCTCAATCCTATTTTCCAATTGGAACGTTACAGAATTTTAAGGTAAGTTACGTCTTGTCATTCTACAATAATTCTCAATATTTCACCGCAAGAATAAAGGGTTAATTTAAAATCCCCTCAGTGAAGATTCATGGTGCCCGCATGTTATGGTTTTATGAGTTTCCTTTTCCTCGAGAAAGTAGACATTCGTGACTAAGTTACAGGAATAATCGATTATATGATAAAAATGTTCTGATGTACAGCGCTGGACTTTAACTGGATGAGGTTATCAGAGATTCAGTTGACTTTTTGAAGATTAATTTAAAACCTTCTACTGTGGAACATCATACAACGATGGCTGCCTGATTCAGTTTAAATCAAACTTTTTTCAATAAAGCATTAATTATCCAATTTGGTTCAATTAGTATTCTCTTAAAAAAAAAAAAAAAAAAAAAAATTAGCAAGAAACTCAATGGCCCACCGTAAATTTCACCAGAAGTCGGTCTTTTGACCTTTCAAACAACTCCTATGCAATTTGCATAATAAAATTCACTTCAAATTCATAAACAAACAGATAAGGAAAATGATAGGCGTGGTTGGATTAATACATTAGGAGTGCTACCTGCGCAAAGGAGTACAAAAGGCTGGTGCTAAGGGACCTTGGTATGGACCACAAATGTATAAACTCTATCTCCTCTCCTTTTCCTTCCACCATTGTTGCTCTTGATTACTGATTGAGATGGTAATTGATGTTGAGATTGAATGGTACGCCAGAATCGCTTGTGCATGTATAAATACATTACTGGTTGCGTGAATGACGACCAAGATTTTCTTGCCGTTCAGACACCCACTTACCAAATCAGATCCGTAATTCTGAAATATGTTAGAAAATTGCTGATGTAAACAGAGGCGATCCCCACAATTGGGGTGGGTCCCGCGCAAAAATAGGGCCCCACCCCCTCCTGTTGGTGAGGTTCTGACTGCCCCCCTGTTACTCCAGGCCCTTTTGTTCCCCATTTTTAAAGTTATTTTTTTTTTCAAATAATCTTTACTAAATTTTCAATCACAAATTTCATCAATTTATATAACAAGTTACTAAAAATTTAGCTTATATTTGGTACCATTTCTTAAAACTATTTTTTTTTTCAAACTCATATTCAGTTATACATTTTATAACATCTACGACATTTATATATACTAAAAATTTAGAGCTTGTTTGATGCTGATTTTGAAAATTAATTTTTTGACCGTTAGTTTGAAAGGCACATTCCACCTGTAAGTGAAAAAGTCAAAAATAACGGTTGACCATGCTAAGTAACAGTGAAAAATTAGTTTTTTAGCTTGAAAAATCAACACCAAACTGGGCTTAATTTTTTATTTTTCATTTTTTATGATAGGGAAACCCGTAGTCATTACCTTTCCGATGCGCATTGGGTAAACTCTCGAATTGACGTAATAGCCTGCAAACCAAACCAATCAGGTAAAGCCTACAAGCAAATTCTGTGCGATGACTCGATCGAGAAAGTAGTAGGTTCAAATTGCAATTTGTCGGGTCAACTAATTCAAGCGTTTTATGGTGGCTATGAACTTTGAAAATTTCTGAGTTGTTATGGAATTTTTTTTAAATAGTTTCTAATTGTCTTTTAACTTTTGCATTTTAGAGATAATTTTTATTTTATTATTAGTCGAAGTGATTTTTTTAGTTATAAGTAACTTTTTATATTTTACATAAAAATAAAGAATATTTATATATATTTAATTTTTTAAAACTAAATATTAAAAAATGAATTTACTATAGATAAAAAAAAAAACCAAAAAAAACATACAGTAGAGTCTTTCCGTGCACGAAGCTTTTTAGCTCTGTACACAGAGCATTTCTGAAACAAATTTTTTTTTTTTTTAAGTTTTGTTTTTGTTTTCATTTTCAAGCTCACTACGGGTTATCAAATGAATTCAAAGTATTACATTCTTAATATTATTTTGAAGTATTCACTAGAGTATTGCACGTCGTTAAACGATCAATCCTAGCAAATCTTACGGGGCATCAAAACAAGCATTTTCAAACTATTATTTCAAAAATTTCGATAACAAACTAACTTTAAAAATTTATCGCTGATTATACGATAGTTGAATTCATAAATTTTCTATGTTCTCTCGAAACACATTTTGAGAACTATATCATAGATACATCGAATGACCTAAATAAATATCGAAAATAATTAAACGTACATCAAACGTGTATATTAAAAATGCATATAACTCGTCTTTAAAAAAATAATTATTTTATTAGCGTCTATTATTTTTTCGCAACAATTTTCTCAATATAATTTACATTATTTTGTTAAAAAAATTATGTCGTATGACGTAAATTTTTTTTTGGACTTAAAAATTCATAATAAAATTATTATCATCTTACATAAAAATGATTTGTTGGAAATAAAATAGTGATTAAAAAATTATCAACAAGTAAAAAGATTTACATAATTTTATTTAAAAAATTATGTGATATGACTTAAATTTTTTTTTTTTGGATGTAAAAATTCCTAATAAATTATTATCGTTCTTACATAAAAGTGATTTGTTGAAAATAAAATAGTGATTAAAAAAAGTATCAACAAATAAAAAGATTACCAATAAAAAAATCCAAACAAACGAAAATAAAGAGTGGTTGAGTACAGAGTGAAGAGATGATAATTGGTGGGAGGTATGAAAAATTGAGTATTGCAGTAAATTCAGATTACCACCTTTATACTGTGAAAAATAGCTCCCACCCACTATAAAAAAAATATTGCTACAGTCTGTAATAAATTACTGTTATCAAACCAATTCCAAACCAGTTCAATGTGAAAATGAGTGTGACAAAAATGAACAGTAAACCCCCATTCTCTCTTTTATGGCAGTGTAGATTATATTCAATATCGTCTAATTAAACATTATTATTATCGATTTCACATTGAATGCATTTTGAAATTAAAATATAAAATATAAAATCAATTAGTCAATGATAAATACCAAAAATGAGTCTTGATAATAATAAAATCATTCGAGAATCCTTCTAGAAAAACATATCTATTTGAATTTTCAACGATGGATTTATTTTGAATCGAGATGCAAAAGAATTTATATTCCCTATCTCTTATTATTTATCCCCTAAATGAGGGAGTCTAATTAGTAATTAGATTTTTCTCGAGATCTCTGAATTCGAAACAAGAGCAAGAAGAAAAAAGAAAAAAATTCTCGTGCCTAACTCGCTTTACGTGCCGAACTGATGTTTAAGAACATTAGTTGGATAATTTTGATGATGCTGGAAAATGGTCGGAATTCACCAGCTTGTGTTGACCCTTAAAAGACGTACGCATAACATCCTAATATTAAAATCCTGTTGGTGAGGTTCTGACATGCTGGAAAATGGTCGGAATTCACCAGCTTGTGTTGACCCTTAAAAGACGTACGCATAACATCCTAATATTGAAATCCTGTTGGTGAGGTTCTGACCGCCCCCCTGTTACTCCAGGCCCTTTTGTTCCCCATTTTTAAAGTTTTTTTTTTTTTTTTCAAATAATCTTTACTAAATTTTCAATCACAAATTCCATCAATTTATATAAAAAGTTACTAAAAATTTAGCTTATATTTGGTCCCATTTCTTAAAACTATTTTTTTTTTCAAACTCATATTCAGCTACACATTTTGTAACATCTACGACTTTTATTAATTTTTCAATCATTAAATTTCATTAAAATATACCAAAAATTTAGAGCGCGCTTGGTGCTGATTTTGAAAATTAATTTTTTGACCGTTAGTTTGAAAGGTAGATTTCGTCTGTAAGTGAAGAAGTCAAGAATAACGGCTGACCATGTTGTAACAATCAAAAATTAGTTTTTTAGCTTGAAAAATCAACACCAAACTGGGCTTAATTTTTTATTTTTTTATGACGGAAAAACCTGCAATCGCTACTTTTCGGATGCGCAATGGGTAAACTCTTGGACTAACGTAATAGCCTGCAAACCACGTCAATCAGTTAAAGTGCAATAAGCAAACTAGGTGCGACATGCTCGACCGAGAAAATAGTATGTTCAAATTGCAATTTGTCGGGTCAACTAATTCAAGCGTTTTATGGTGGCTATGAACTTTGGAAATTTTTGAGTTGTTAAGGAATTTTTATTAAATAGTTTCTAATTGTCTTTTAACTTTTGCATTTAATTTATATTTATAATATATTAAGAATCACATGAGTTGAGAATAAAAACGCAAGCATGACTCAGCCTTGTGACAATAACCGGTGGTTTGTAGTGTGTGGCACGTAACCCAACAAGTTGTTCACATCTTTTTCTTTTTCTTTCTTTTTTCCTCTTAATTATATTCAACATCGTCTAATTAAATATTATTATTATCGATTTCACATTAAATGCATTTTGAAATTAAAATATAAAATAAGTGTATTTGCAAACCTGCCCACAACACAGGGTGGGAATTTTTTGAAGATTTTTGAGATTTAAAAAATTTAAGAGTATTTAATGTAAACTTTTTAGACTCTTTAAAACTAGGGTTTTACTGAGTGTACAGCTCGGGCTGTACACTCAGTTTCACAGCCCCCTCACAATGAGGGGGCCCCACCTGTTTTTTATTTTTTTTTTACTGTGCGTGGGCCCCCCCGATGTGAGGGGGCTGTGAAAGTTGGTGTGAACCGTGCTGTGTATATAGCACGGTCCTTAAAACTATTGATATATTCAATTAAGACTCTTATTTTTATAGGTTTTTAAGAGATATGAAGTATTCAATTAAAACTTTTTAAAAATCTCTATACATCTTTGAATATTCAAATTGTTAATGATTTTTAAAGATTTTTTTTTAAAAGTCTATGTGGTACTAACTTTTAAGTAGTATGTACTAAAATAAAATCTCAAAATTTGTTTTACATTCATCCCAAGATTTTGGAAAACTTTCACAAAAAATAAATTATAATAATGCATTTTTTTCTTGCAATAATTCTCTTTCCATTTTTACTTCTGCAAACATTAGAGTTAAAAATCAACTCGTTATATTTGTTTCTATTTTTCCATTTTTCCCCTCGCTCTTTTTTTATTTTTTATCGAAATTTTCTATTAAAAGGAATTAAATTGTAACTAAAGATTCGTATAGTTTTTTTTTCTTTTTTTTCATCATTTTTTTATGGAAAAAAAATCTAGTCAAATTAAAATTATAAGACTTTTTATAAAAAAAACTTATTTATAATTAAAATAAATATATTAATTTCTTGTTTAATCTTTAAAGGTAAGACATATTGATAATACTGAATATTGATTAATTTTTATGTATTTTCTATTAAAGAATAATGTAATACTTTGTCCTCAATTGGAGATTGTGATGAATTTTAAACATCATTCTAAATTTATGTGTTTTCAATAGAGATTTTATTGGATTTTAATGAAATCCATTAAAATTTAGGTATCTCCAATTGAGATTTTAATAAATTTCTTTAAAATTTAGGTATCCTCAATAATTAGTGAATTTATAAAAATTTCATTAATAAAAGAATTTTAAAAGATTTAGATATATTTCAAGTTTAAAAATACATATAACTGATATAAGCAAATATTTTGAAATTTCATCATATTTGATGAGATTCTTATGAAATTTGCAAAAATCTATTTAAATTCACAAAATTCTTTAAATTCATAATCCTTTAAAATTCATTAAAATTTTATTTGAGGATACCCGCTAAGCTTTTGATCTTTAAGAGAATATTTTTTATTTTATATATAGAGTGAGAACGAAATTGTGAGAACCATAATCTCATATACTCGTATGTGGGAATTCAACATTTTTGTTCTAGACCTAC